CTTAAGATGTTGATCCATTATTTTCCTGAGGGCTATATAAAAATCCTTTAACAGAATAATGCTTTTCAGGTGCCTGCCTCAAAGCAAATACACAAAGTGAAAGTGTTGTACACAATGTCAACAGTAGATGGTGTACATTTATTCTTTTTAAAACAGCCTTGCTGTTTCAAGAAGAACATACGACCAAATAAACATACAAAATCATTTTAAAATATGAACAATATAACAAATGAGAATTCTTAAGAACTAACCAAAGGAACCAACAATGCCAATCTAATTTTTTGTAAATGATACTTTGCTGTTTTTTGGTTTGGTTAAGAATTGAGCAAAAGAAACTATTAATGTTTTCAGCAACATACTATGAAAACCAATAAAAGAATGCTGACAGGAGGTCAGTAGATGTCATAAAGAGGAACAGGTCTGTGGTGCATAGCAAGAGCCAGGGGAGTAGGACAAGATGAACACATCTAAGGTGGCTGATAATGGAATGATGGGAAGGAAATATAGCCCCAACTGAGTTGACATATCTTTTTTTTCCCTTTTTTGTCTTTTTTCGTGACCGGTAACGGGATCGCAACCCTCGGTGTCGCACCCGTACCACGATCAGCAACGGGATCACAACCCTCGGTGTCACGCCCACACCACGCTCAACCAGTGAGTGGACTGGTCTCTATATGGGATCCGAACCCTCGGCGGGAGCGCCATGTGCACTCCCAAGCGCCGCACTCTACCGAGTGCACCACCAGGCCGGCCTGACATATTTTTTTCTATAGTTCACCTTTAAGTGACCCTGAATATTACGAAGAACCTTGGCTTTGTAAATAATGCTTCCCTCTTCATCCAAAAACTACTTTATCAAGAGAAGGCAAATACTACAGAAGTGGTTTCAAACATGGCTGCAAACTGAACCACATGGATAACTTTACTCCTTTTTAAATTTTGCTCCTCGGGCTCCACTCCATAACTTCTAAACCAAAATCTCTGAAGGTAAAGTCAGGGGCCATCCTGAATCAGTGATTCTTTCAATAAATAACATTTATCCATGAATTTGTGAACTGTATTTTTTAAACTATCCATCTAATAAGCTGGACCATGCATTTATATTTAAATATCCTTTTGATGCTTATCAAAATATATTTTTTAAATTATGAACTAATGAACTATACACTGATAATTATAATGATAACTCAAGCCAAAAGGAAGAAATTAACACTAGAGCCTTATGTTCACAGGAATTTAAAAAATGAAATCTTCAACTCATGTGCATTCTTATTGCAGAAATATGAGTTTAGCAATAAAGCATAGTACGTTAAAATGTAAACTATATCGAAATTTAATAAGATCCTATATGTTAATGAAATAGAAATACAAATACAAGGAGAAAAAAGAATGATGAAAAATTTCCAACTACTAGTGAAGAGCTTGTTCATGTATTTTTACAAGTGAGGTTGGTATCAAATGTTTAAAGGAATTACTTTAATTGTAAAATGTCAACATCTGCAATATGTTAAAAATTACATCCTTTGCAATTA